GGGGAATGAGATTCCCTCTGGTGATGCCTCTGAGGAGTGAAAGGCTTGGCAGCTCACTCTCAGTCTGTGGTTGATGAAGTCCCAATGAAAAGGTAGCAATATTAAAAGTCAATAATTAGGGGCACCTGGGTGGCTCAGTCATTAAGCGTCTGCCTTCGGCTCGGGTCATGATCCCGGAGTCCTGGGATCGAGCCCCGCATGGGCTCCCTGCTTGGCGGGGAGTCTGCTTCTCCCTCTCCCCCTCCCCCTGCTTGTGTTCCCTCTCTAGCTCTCTCTCTCTCTGTCAAATAAATAAATAAAATCTTTAAAAAAAAAGTCAATAATTTAAACAAATATATTGTGTCTTAACTTTCTAACAATTTTAAAAATAAAAAAACTTAAAAGTTTAAATTAATGAATTAAAATATAAATTAAAATTAAAACGACATCTAAAAACCCTAAATGTGTAAGTCAGTGTGAGCAGTGGTGATGGCCACGTGCTGTAGGTGGCTCGGTCCCAACTGACACCTACCCCTCTCCATGTGTCTCTGCACTAGACCCTCCCCTCCCCCGGGCAGGCAAGAAGGAGAGGAAGTTGGACGGGGTTTTTTTCCCCTTGGATTCTCACAGGTTGAGAAGACCCTGGCATCTTTAAGCTTGTTCTCCTAATCTTTCCCTTCCCACTCTCATCAAAATTTCCACCCGTTCTGCTCTTGTTTTTGGCTGATGACTTCCTTTGCCTTATCCATTCTTGAGGGGGAAAAGCTATTCAGATATGGTCTGCGTCTCACCACCGCCACATCTGTAAACACTCTGGTGTTTTAAAGCCATCCTTTACTTTGGCCCATCGGTTAAAAATGAGGATGTATCTCACAGTCTCTGGATTTCACCCCCTCTCAGCCTCTAAGATTGGAACATTTTAGTTACCCTGTCTCGTGCATTTTCAACTGTTGGCTTTCTATAAATCATCCTCTTCAGCACACAAACATTTCCTTTTATCTCCAACTACAGAACACTCTGCTGTGCGTGCCCCCAGCCCCCTTCAGCAATCATGCTACTCTCATGCTTGCACGTGCGGCCAGACTTTTCTGAACAGTTGTCTGTATGCGGCATCCCTAGCTTTTATCCTCCCATTCACACATTATACCATTCGAATCTGGCTTTTATGCCCACCATTTCACCCAAACTGCTTTTGTCAGTGATAATTCTGTCACTTAATCTAAGGAACACCTAATTAAATCACTCAGTAGCCATCGATACAGCTGACCTCCTCCTCCTTCTTGAATCTGCCTCTTTCTTATTCTCTATGATGCCAAAAATGCTCTTGGGCTTTCTCTCACTTCACTTACCAATCCATTTCAATCTCCTTGGCCCCTCTCCATCCTGCTAACATCCTAAATGTAAGAATGTATCAGGTTTTGGTCCTACATTCTCTTTTCTCTTTCCACACTCTTTATCCAAGTGATTTCATTGGTTCCCTTGACTTCAAATACAATCTATAAGCCAACGATTCCTAAACTTACAGCCTTAGTCCAGAGCTTTCTTCTGCAATCCATACGTTTATGTCAAGTGCAACTTGGACTCATTCACTTTGAGGTCTCAGAGCGATCTGAAACTTCCCATGTTTAAAACTGATCTGGGGAAACTCACTCTGATTTTGGGACTTAATATAAAGCTCCAGCAATCAAGCGAATAGAACATAAGCAAAAAAAAGATAGATAGATCAGTGGATCCATACATATCTGGCCACTTGATTTTTGACAAAGATACCAAGGCAACTCAGTGGAGAAAAAACAGTCTTTTCAATAAATGATGTTGAAACAATTGGATAGATAAGATAATTTATCCATGTATAAAAAAGCTGAACCTCAACCTGTGCTTTATACCATATACAAAAATTAACTCAAAATGAGTCAAAGACCCAAAAGTAAGACCTGAAATTATAAAACCTCTAGAAGGAACCATAGGAGAAAATCTTTGTTCCTGGGATTAGTCAAAGACTTCTTAGGTAGGACACATAAAGCATAAGCCGTAAGAGGTAAAAATTGATAAATGAATTTATTAAAAATAAATACTTCTGCTCTTCTAAAGACAGAAAGAATGAAAAGTCAAAGAATGAATAGAAATATTTGCAAACTGCATTTCTGATAAAGGGCTAGTATCCAGAATATATAAAGAACTCTCACAAATCAATAATAAGAAAACAACCCATTTTTAAAAAGAAGGAGCAAAAGATATGAACAGATATTTCACCAAAGTAAATACACAACTGGCAAATAAATACATATTCATACATCCTTGGTCATTAGGGGAATTTTGATTAAAATCATAATGAGATACTATTACAAACCTATTCATATTGCTAAAATAAATTTTTCTTTTAATATGACATTACCAAGTTCTGGCAAGGATGGAGAGCAACTGAACTCATGCACTCCTGGTTGGAATGCAAAATGTACAACTAGGTTGAAAAGCAGTTTAGCAGTTTCTTATAAATTTATCGTACAACCCATCATCCTACTCCTGGGTATTTACCCAAGAGAAATGAGAACATTTCCACACAAGAATCTGTATGCAAATGTTTATGTCAGCTTTTTTTCAAAATTGCCAAAAAACTAGAAACAATCCAAATGTCCCCCTACTGGGGAGCAGATTAATTGTGTTACATCTATATAAGGAATACTACTCAGCAATCAAAGGTCTGATATACTGGTGAGCGCAACCACATGGATGAATCTCAAATGCATTATGCTAAGTAGGAAAAAACAGACCCAAAAGCCTACATATTGTATTTGTATGACATTCTGAAAAAGACAAAATTATAGGGACAGAAGACAGACCAGTGGTTGCTGGAGGTGGGGGTAAAGTGAAGGGATTAACTATAAAGGGCACCAAGGAACTTTTTGAAGTGACTGTGGTGATGGTTTCATGACTATGTGTTTCTCAAAAATACTGAATTTTACCGTGTGTGAATTATACCTCTATAAATTGACTTTTAAAAGACTAATTTTTTAAGATTTATTTATTTGAGAGAGGGAGTGAGCGTGCGCGTGCGGGGGGAGGGGCAGAAGGAGTGGGAGACAAGCAGACTCCCCCTTGAGCAGGAACCTGACCCAGGGCTTGATCCCAGGACTTTTTTTTTTTTAAAGATTTTATTTATTTATTCATGAGAGACAGAGCGAGAGAGAAAGGCAGAGGGAGAAGCAGGCTCCCAAGGAGCGGGGAGCCCAATGCGGAACTCGATCCCAGGACCCCAAGATCATGACCTGAGCCGAAGGCAGATACTTAACCATCTGAGCCACCAGGCGCCCGTGATCCCAGGACTTTGAGATCATGACCTGAGCTGAAATCTAGTCAGACGCTTAACTAACTGAGCCACCCAGGCGCCCCTAAAAAACTAATTTAGTGATCTTGCCCACATACATGCTTCTTCCTCAACTCTCCCCATCTTAAAAAATAGCATCCCGGGGCGCCTGGATGGCTCAGTCAGTTAGCAACTTTGCACATGGGCTATTCTCTATACCTGGACTCCTCTTCTCCCTGGCTCCTTTTTTAATGGCTAGCTCCCTCTCATTCATAAAGTTTCAGTTTCACATGTCAAATCTTTAGAGTAGTCTTTATACATGTTATAATAGTTGACTCCTGACATTCTCTTTCATAACA